GCCAAAGGGGATAGCCCCGTCGGACCCTCAATTCCTCGACCGTCAACCTTCCGCGCCCACTGCGCGACTATACCGAACCATGCCCCCGTCGACGTCGTCCTCCGTACGCATGCGCAAGTCACAGGCGCACCACTCAAGGGACAAACCTTTTTAAATCCTAGTCTAATAAGAAAATAAAGGTTTGGCCGGCGACCAACGCCTGTTTTCACAATCATCAAGGATAGCAAAGATCACGCGCGCCTTCAATCTGCGCACCCACACACTCTCTGCCCTAGTCAACCACTCAGTCGATGTAAACCATAGACTCAGCCGCGCCTCGTGCGGTATACTTTAGACTTTAAATCAAAACTATTCTGTCACTTGCAAAAACCAGGGCGGATACCCTTGTAAGGGTATTCGCACCGACACCGGGTACTCGAGGATTGCCGCAGCATTGACGAGACTACAATCGCCAAAGGTGCCATTCGGATTCGACGACGAAGCGTGGCAGTCATTCCAAGCGCTCAAGACGACAATGCTTCATGGCACCTGTCCTTAGCATCTATGACCCCACCTTGCCAACGAGAGTGACAACTGACGCGTCTAGCTATGGTATTGGGGCAGTCTTGGAATAACACGACGGCGACGACTGGCATCCCGTGGAGTACGACAGCCATAAGGTGCCTCATCAACTCACTAGATGATGCAAGAAAGGAGCTGCTCTCGTTCCTGATGGCTCTTTAGCGATGGTGGCACTTCCTCCTTGCACGTCGTAGGTTCACATGGGTCACTGATAACAACCTGTTGACCTACTACAAGACGTAAGATACGGTGAGCAGCGCTATCGGACGATGGATGCATTTCATCAAGCAATTTGATTTCACATTGAAACATCTCGCAGGCCTGTCCACTCGCCAGCAGATGCACTTTCGCGAAGACCCGCTCTTTGCGCTATGACACATCATGCCTTCGTGTTCAACGAGGAACTCTAGCGACACTTCATGCGAGGCTATGAGTCTGATCCAGATTATGCCACACTCTATGCGCAGCTATCTTGGGATCACTATCGCATCGTCGACGGGTACATGCTTCTCCACTTGCGAGGCAAGGACTTATTGTGTGTTCCACGAGAGCGTCGTCTTTGGATTCGCCTTCTTGACGAGTACCAGGACTCGCGACTCGCCGGCCAATTCGGAGTCAATCACACTATCGCACGACCTAGACAATGATTCCGGTCGCCCGACGTCATCACCGACGTCAACGAGATATTGCGATTCTTGCGAAGTTTGCCGACGAAGCAAGCCCGGCAATTGCAACCCTTACGGCGAGTTGCGCCCGTTGCCTATTCCCTAGGAACCCGGCCTCTCCATTGCTATGGACGTCACCGACCCATTTCCCTGTGATCGCTTCGGGCACGACGACATCCTCACTGTCGTTGACCGTTTGAGTAAGTTTGCGCGGTTTCTTCCATGCAAGTACTACGCCACTGCTCCCGAGCTCACGCGGCTCTTGCACACCGGCTGGTTCAGCGGCCGCGGTGTTCCGGAAGACATCGTTTGCGATCGCGATACTCGGGCGATAGGCAGTTCAGGCATTTTGGACTTCTCTCATGAAGGAGTTTGACACCGAAATGAAACCAAGTTTGGTTCGACACCCACAAACAGACGGGCAAACAGAGAGAGCACATCGTACTGCTCAAATGATGCTTCGTACGCTCATCCGTCTGGATCAGAAGGATTGGGTTGATCGCCTCCCCAACATCGAGTTCGCCTACAAGTTGCATCCGACGATCAGCATGACTCCATTCGAGTTGCACCACGGTGGCCGGAAAGGCCGTATCTTCGGTGATCTTCTCCTCCCACGAACTGCCGACATAGACGCCGCTTGCTCTCCCGCCTCCGATCGAAAGTACAGGGAACTGCTGACTCAAGCCGGTGCGAACATCCACAAGGCTCAACTCCGCATGCAGCAGCAAGCCAATAGGTGTCGCGTGCCATGTCCCATCCACGCCGGCGATCTGGTTTGGGTCTCCGCGGAAGAGTTTGCGCTTTAACAAGATGTTTCACGCAAGCTACTCCCAAAGTGGTTTGGACCATGAACCGACCTTTCAGCCGCATACGACAAGCCCGACAACGCATCCTTTGTGATCGACATCCCTCTGCACCTACCGGTCCATCCAGTTTTTCACACCTCGAAGCTGGCGACATACACACCAGCCGAAGAGGATGACTTCCCGGACCAACGATTGCAGGTTCCTCCCTCCATGGATGGTCATCAGGAGATCGATCACCGTCACACACCGCAAGTACGACAACAAGTCGATGCAATACAAGGTCTCATTCAAATGGTGCAACTGTGACGACACAAGGTGGATTTCACGAGCAGATTTGCAAGCATCTGCACCGCTGATCTATGCGGACTACGAACGACGAAGACTAGCTAAGGAAGCTTCACAACCTGCCCCTCCCACCCGGACTTTGGTCCCTCCCTCCGACAGGCAGCTTCGCCCTCGCAGGTAAGCTCGGTCTTTCAAGGAGGGGGGGCTGTGGCATACTGCGCACCGCATGGGCCCCGCAGGGCCCGACCAGGCGGAACAAGGATAAGTAAGGGCCCTCCAGGCCCTGCGTCGGTTCAGCCTAAGAAGAAGGGCCAATTTTTGGCCCTCTTAAAGTCGCCCCTTTCTGAACTTAGGCTCCAGACCAGGGATGAGCGCAGGCCATTTTTAGGCCCTTTTCAAGATAACCTTATTTTTAAATTGTGCGCCAGGGACTGGCACCATCCAGAATTGGCAAGAGCAGCCTCCCAGCCGGACCAGCGCTATATAGTGCTGGTCCGCCCGGGAGGCGACAGGCAGTTCAGGAGGTAGTCGTCGGACATTCGGCATCAGCACTCTTGGGAGCGCTGCAGTAGTAGTAGAGTACGATAGGAGTAGTCTTCAGCGCTGGGCGCTGCTAGGACCTTAGAGTAGCGTGGAGAGGGAGGAGAGTGGTGGAGGCCAGGGAGACTTATGTTACATGCTGCGCCTGCACACGAGGGCTATTTTCCAGGCCCTGCGTCCCTCAGGCTGAAAGCCTGAAAACCAGGGCCTACAGGCCCCGTGACCATTCAGCTCGAAAGCCTGAAATCCAGGGGCCAGCAGACCCTGTGTCGTTTCAGACTAAAAATGGCAATAGCCTTTTTAGCCTGAAACGAAGGGCCATTTTCGGTCGTTCATCAGAACGACCGGCCCTGAAACTCAGGCACCGAACCAGGGTTTCGGGAACAGGCTATTCTTAGCCTGTTCCCACGACAGCCTCAGCAGATGCTGCAGCGCCAGCCCCTGGCAAGCGCAGCCTCCTCGGCCTGGCTCGCCTTGCAGGCAGTCAGGAGGCAGGCCGAGGTAGTACATAGGGACTTCCCATGCACTCACAGGTAGGAAGGATGCAGCCAGTAGTCTTCAGGATTCGGCAGCAGCACTCTGGAGGGAGCGCTGCAGTAGTAGTAGTAGCGTTAGCATTAGTCTTCAGCGCTGGGCGCCAGTAGGTAGCTGTAGTCTTCAGCACTGGGCGCCATAGCTAGGATAGCTCTAGAGAGAGAGAGAGATTGGGTGGAGGCCAGGAGTACCTACCTGCAGCGCCGTTGCTCCAGCTTCGTCTTCGAGGTACCTGCAGCACAGCACCAGCTTCACAGGTTAGTATCTGGCTCGTGACAGAGAGAGAGTTCTTCTTCTTCCTCTTCTCAGTCCACCATCTCCCTCTCACCCTCTCATTATCTGAC